CCACTAATCTCCGAAACGGCTAAGCCGATTTCGACGGGGCTTTCTCTGGAGGGTAGCTGACATGTATAGGCATATTATAGGCTATTTTTATTTTCGGGCTGTCAAAATGCCGTAAAGGGTGTTTGAAAATGGCGCTAACGAAGTTTGCGGGCGACAGCTCGTCAGTCATAAATTTACTATGTTGTATGATGACTAATAATAAAAATTATGGTCATTGAACAAAACCATTGATAGTCAATTTATTAACCGCGTATATTTCCGACTTGTGATAAGGAGGTACTGGTAATTAACATGGAATAATATGGTTTGTAATTTTCCTTAGTTTCAATTCAAGTGAACTCTAATCATATAAACGATACCGGCACAAACATATTTTTTATTCATTTTTATTCAGATCTGTAACAGCAATTAAACTACTTTAAAATCTCATATCAGAGCCATGTATAATAAACAGAACTACATAAATGGTGCAAGTTCGGTAAACTATCAGACAACTTCAGTTAGCTACAGTAACCAATTTCGAGGCTACAATTTTTTACATGATTGTAGGTAAACATGCCAATTTATTTATTTGTGAATAACTGAAAAAGACGCACAGATAACAATTTTAATTTTAGTTCTAGTAAATGAACTTTCAGTAATTTCGGTAACCAATAAATCTCACACTGACTGATTCAATTACTAAAGAGATAAAATGTTACTATCTAACTACTAACAGCATCACTGTTTAGTTACGTCAAATGGTTTATATTCCCACAGGTGAATACCGGCGTTAATAGATTGTGCATATTGTATGTATTACAATTGTCATAATGTGACTAATTCCGAGAAACAATTTGCGGTGTTGCTCTCTAATGCCAACATGACTGTACCGTTTAGACGCGCAGTAATCAGAACGACGTTCTAATTCCTATCAAACATTAATGATTAAATAAATCCATGTGAAAGTTAAACTGTAATCTTCATCTTATCTAATACTAGCTGTTGCTTGCGACTTCGGTCGCTTAAAATTAAACAATCTAGTCAACGTTGTTCAGCGATGACGTAGCATTTTAACGGTGTAAGAATTTATTAAATCGACACAGTAGTTTTAAAAATCCAACAATCCAAATCTTTTCTCTTTATAATATTACTATAGATTTTGACATTTACAAAAAAATACGCGATACAATTTAAAAAAATGCCTCATCGAATTAGGATCAAAGGTAGAACTATAGTGAAAAATATAGTAAATAGATATTTCTGGAGAGCTAAGAGAAAACTTTAATCGAAGCTATTGGAGTGTAGTTAACGTAATGCATAAATATATAGAAGATAGATCAAGGAGCGTTGTTCAGTTTATGATACGAGATGTAATTACGTCTATCTAAAATTTTAATATAATGGGCTGGGTCGTGTAATATTTGGAGTAATGCGTCACTATGACGTCAGCTGCATTTATCGTGTTAGACTGTTAGCAACCTTGCATTGCTTACGTTGACATTAGTAAACAGTTAAAGTGAATTTGAAATAAGTTTTTGCATATTATAGTTATTTAATTAGAATAAAACGTTTTATGGCCTTGTTGCTTTAATAACTGTGATCGTGAGTATTCTTAGTTAAATCATAAGAATTAACTTAATCTATCATTTTAATATTTCTCGCACCACTTCCAATCCTAAAGATTTATATTTTAGTAGAGAATGCTTTTGTAAATGTAATATTCGAATTAAATCTAGACTCAAACAAAAAAGGACAAGGAGTTCTGTAATGTTTATATCTTACTAAAATTATAAATAATATAAATGAATAAAAATTACTTAGTTTTGTCTTCTTTTTTTTTTAATTTCGCGGGGACTGAGTCGCGGGCGAAAGCTAGTGTTAATTATAATAAACTTAAAATGTTAACAATAGTTTTTTAGTAACGTGTAAAGTAATGAAGAAAGGTAATGTAAATAGTATGTAAGGAAATATAGACAACGAAGTATTTCATTTTGATTGTAAGAATAAATATTTTTTTTTATGAGGCTTGTAATGATTGTCAACTATTTGCGAAATTCTTAGAAATCACCGAGTACGTACAATAGATAAGGTGGTGTAATATTTACGAGCATTTTTCAAATGCAATGCACCACATAGAGGACTGCGGAGTATCACGTATAGAAATCCTGGGTTCAAAATCCTTAGGACGTTAACCTGTTTTGTTAACGTTGAATGTCCTGCTACTATTTACATTTAGTAATACATAGGAAGATAGGAACCACAACACACTCATATTGTACGAAAAGAATACAACTACAAACACCAATAGTTAATTAATGAAGTATTCTTTTCATTCATGTTGCCATTCCGCACTTTTTTAAACAAACAAAATAAAACTGGATCGTTAAAAAATGAAATTACATTGTTTTGTAAAAGAAATATTATGTAAATATAAATTTGCATGAATCGAGAGAAACATTATGTAAATACAAAAATATATTTATTGCCATTTCGCGGTACTCTTTTTGCTTTACTGCTTCATTCGAAACGCCTCCACAATATTCAGGGAAAACTTAATTTGAGATAATTTTCAAACTCAAACGTCTATAAGATTTGAACCAAAGTGGTCTATCCTGAAAGTCATTAAAAGTTTGTTTGAGAGGTGCTATTCTTATTGATGTTTGACGAAAACAGGCCAAAATGAAGTAAAGATTAAGCTCCAAGCATTAGAAGACACTTAACATAATTTCAATAAATCAAAATAATTCGATCTTCTTTAAATGTCACATTTTTCGTATAAATTACGAAGCAAAATTGAATTTATGTTTTCACAATCAAGAAGAAGAAATATGAAATAACACAGTTACCATTAAATTAATCTGGGAATTCATTTAGATTGATTAAGTAGAATTTGAGTCACCGAGCTATCCGAGAAAAGTTGCATGACACTATTCCTTTGTCTAAAGTCAGGTGATTAACCGTGAGCTGCGAACATACCATCAAAATGTGCACATTTTCTCGTGATGATGGATGAAAATAGGATAAGCACCTTAGTTCGTAGAATAGCCCTTTTTAAATTGGCACTCAAATCGATTTATTCACTTGAAAAGAAATCGAAACCTTACTTCAGTACATTTAAGCAATACAGGCTGAGAATTGTTAGCTTATCCTTTTCCAGCATGTTAGACTAAAACATGTATTCTATCTGTGTGTCAACTGTAGTCAAAGAAGTTCATGGAATGTTAACTCTCTTATTCTACTAGCTCATCTTACGCGAATGTAGAGCCATAGACAAATTATTTCTTTTTTTATTTAAAATACGAACAGGAGTACAGATAAAACAAATTACAACATCACTATCTCAGTATTTTTGTTATCGTGTGTAGATGATCATGTTTTGTTTAGCCGAGTGTGCTATTTGAAGGCTTTACCTCATATAGAGGCAATCAAACAGACCGCCCGCTAATATTATTGCGGGCTTCGGTTCGTGACGGCTGTTGCCAGTAACTTTCCACATATGTACGTGCGTGGCGCAAATCTCATAGCAAATAAGCGCCTCGTTTAAGCTGCAACGATGTTTACTTGTTGTATAGTTCGTTCGTCATTTCATTATGGGCGCGTAATCTCGGATTGCGATGGAAATAGAATGGACTTACACTGAGATTAACAATAACGACGTTGGATTATCTACTAAAACAGAAATAAAAACTGACGTTAGTACACATGTCACAAATAGCGTAGCTCAGAATTAAGACAAAAAAACACATTTCTGTTCTTCATTTCATGTTTTAAAAGCTACATTACTGAAATGTTTCTACTCTTCATTAATTTCTTTTTTGTTGCCTAAACACAGTCGTGAGGACTATCAAAATTTCTTATTTAGCGTAAGCGTTGATCTTCTTTTCTATTTAGTAAGAAAACTCATGATTATAATTTGGTATTGTGCAGTTCGCAACAAAGAAATTGAAACTATAAATCAATACTTTTATGATTGACATATTTGTCATAACCTTTAGAAATGTGAAACACAATTTTTGTATCAGGGCATTTCCAAAGAACAATAAAGCAGGTAGAATTTGATTTCTAGCCGTATCGAAAGAAGCAGTTAGTATCTGCGAAAATCTATCATAAGAAATAAAAGCCACATATTGTTTTGGAAAACCCTTAATTTACTGAGTCGTTACATAATCAATGTACAATTTGATCGGTTGATTTATAAATATTTCATAAGTCGGTAATTTCGTGTCAGTTTTCTTTGTATTGTACGTAAATCGTTTTCCCCAACTTATGAGTAACGTAATTGGTAATGCAATCTTTGTCGGATGTTTACCCGTTGCGATGATCGATATAACGAACTGCTAGTCACATTTTGCTTTAATCTACGTATAAACACACTTTTCTGGGTACTTATCCATCACTGTATATTACGAAACAGTTTAGTACGCGGAATACACGGCATTGATTTGGCGCCAAATATGTACGAGTCTAGTGACGCTTGTTTTTATGATCAAGTAATAAATTTGTTGTCTAACGACCTTTGTAATAAATTATCAATTATATTGCACCTAATTGATGTTGAGGTTATTTTAAAATCATATTTATATAACATCTTATTTATTTAAAATATTAATAAATAAGTTGAACAAGATCAAATAATTTTAAAACAGACTTCAAAGTCAATCTAGTCTCTAGATTTGAGTCTTGATTGTGACGTTTGACGCACGAAGATAAAGTTGTGAACATATTTAGTAAACACAGGATAATAAAATTGGAAAAATCCTTGGTGGGATTTTGATACGGAGAATTATCTCATCGTAAATATCGAGTCGAGAATGATGAATGTTAATTTTATATAATTCAAAATTCACAAGTATTTCTTGAAGCTTTTGACAGTAAAAAGTCCCAATTAGTTGTAGGTACATTTAATTTAACAAATCCGTTGTTTAAATAAAACTTGTATTTGTTTATACTATGGATTAAATATACGTTTGTGCTCGGAGAGTTATAATTAAACTGTACAGTAAACAAAAAAGACTAACCTTAAGAGACGCCATATCGGACACGGACCGATGTGTTTGAATAGTCTCCAGCTGATCCAAACACCAGTCCAACTCCTCAACGGTCTCCAATGCTAGCTTCATGTAGGCTTCGTCTGTAACAAAACAAATTATACAATTTAAAGAACAGTTTAAAACAATCGTCATTTAAACAAATAAGGCCTTTTTTGTAATTAATCCATTGTAAGTGATAAAACATTATAAACATTTCATATTAAAAAAAAGAAGTAAAAGCAAGGACCATAGAAAATAACCATTACAGATTCATTTTTATCTAAATATTAAGGGTATTTAAATACTGTTAAAACATTAATACACAGTTGTTAGAACGCTTTATAACACTCTCTTTATGCAAAAAGCTTAAAATATAAGCTTTTAAGGTTTTCGCTCGAATTTTTGTTTAGAAAAAAGAAACTTATTGAATTCTAAAAATATCCGCTTTAGCTCCAGTTCAAACATGAAAGAGACGCTCGGGCGAAGTAACTCAAGCGTATGCATACATTAATTTACTTATGCTTGAAGACGAGCACAAGAAGAACGTTTTAATAATTAAAAATACATAAAATTTCTTCATAATGTTATTCATTTTGATTCAACAATGTTACTAGTCTGTTATTAAATTGTACAAAATTCGATTCTTGTGCTATTTAACTACAGACTAAAACGTATTAAAATTCAGAGTAAATTTCTTAATAGCCTCAAAACTCCACTACAATGCAATTGCATTAATACAAGTATCACTGCAATCGAAACACAACACAAACTATACGGCTCAACAGTCGGTACCAAACATACAAATAAATTAATGTTCATGTAAATAAGTTTATTTAATGATTGCACTGATATTTAAGGAATAATTGAGCTTAAATCATTTATGAAGAATTTTACGTTCGAGCATTTTGCAATATCCTGGTACTAAAAGAAAAAATCGTTATAAATTTCAATAAATCGTACAGAAATGTTTCGTAATTACGTATTGCTCCTTCTGTATTCACTGCAGTAATTTGTTTTAAAATTAACATTGTTGTTTATTTCTACAGTCTTAACAAGATCGCAAAGGAAAGGTGATCTACTAAAAATGATCTACTAAAGGAACAAAATGATTTAATTGACAGTATTAATTACACAAAGCGGAGATTGTAATGATCTTTAGTCGCCTCAAATTATTGTTATTTATGTCATGAAATGAATTTAAATGCTCGACTTGCGGCAATAACAATTTAATAAGTCCGACACTCTTTAAACAATACATAGTTGATGAATTATATGGGATTGAAAGAAAAAGTAAAAATAGCAAATATCGATTCAGTTATGCTTACGACAAAACTAAATTCAGATAGCTAACCTATTCAGTAAATAAACAACAATTAGTGTTTTTAGTCACTGTTCGCGCCTAAACAGCGCTTTATGATGGGTTGCGAAACCGGTCCGCGCTTCCCCCACTCAACGCACAGGACCGCCCCTAAAATCTGCGGGCGCAACGTCTTACGCGCCCTCGCATCGATCAGTGTGTGTAAAATCATCCAACAGCAACAGTAACACTCAATACAATAAATGCCGTGAAATAGTATACGTGTGTTTCAATAGAAGATTATAAGCCACATAAAGTGGCGACCGTAACAACAGTCACCAAATATTGCTTTCTTTATAATCGCTCTAAAAATTACGACCGCTCACTGTAACATTTGGTGCGTGAATTATTATTAGATAGAAGTTAACATTATATTATTCATATTAGTATAAGACAAGATTAATGTTGTAACATTTAAAATGACGCACAATGTTTCAAGAATAAAGCCAGAATCAGATTTCGCTTCATTACGATAAAATACGAAAGAAAATTTTAATATCGCCTGCGGGCGTCGCTTACAGCTTCTGATTTAATGGATAAAAGGTAAAATATTCAAAGCAAAATTTATTGTTGCTATTTTCATATAATATTAACTCTTAAGCTTTAGCAATTATGTTCATTCGTGTAAGGCGATTCGACGCCCACAAATCTGGCTGAAGAAAATTGATTAATTTCTAAGTACTAAAATAATTTGTGCTCTTACAAATTCTATGGATTCTTTATGATTTAATTTTGACAAAGTAATTGAAATTGTATTCTTAAGAAATATAGTATTTTTAAATGGTACAACAAACGAATAGCAGTTTAGGATTGCTAAGTAAAGCTTAGTTAAAATTTATTCGTGTAATTTATTCTTGCGCGGTTTTTGTTTAATGGAAGACTTTATTGTAAGGAAAAGGAATACACTGAAGAGAAAATGTGAGGGAAAACCGTATAACATGCAAAAGATTATGACGTTCCTTATTGTGAATGCATTGTCAGCATGAAGCGAGCATTGCAGTTATATGACACCTAACTTATTGCGGTTAATGTGGTCACGTTTGACTGATTTTTCGGAATTAATAAATTGTGGTTTACAAGTCACAACCATTCTTGGTTAAAGTTTGAGACTATAACTGGTTAGTAACCTTCCTGAGAAAATTGTCATTTAACATTTTAAGTATCTGGGTCGTTAAGTGCTCTCTTAGTGACTGATCTGAGACAAAAATAAAAGTCAATTCGATAAAGAATGATTTCTTCAGTGCAAACGTCATGTACAATGTTCTAGTAAAACTCAAATCACATCTTGAAATAATCGATCTTCTCACTCGAAGATGTAGGTACGAGGTTCTGATAACACGACCTTTGCCGATTACATACAGTAGCCGGTGCTAGCCACGAAAACAATGCGTGATCTTATAGGATATACATTACAAATCTCTGTTCTTCTTAAATATCCAGATATTTCAATATCCCTTAGTTGTTCCTTTCGATAACGCTTACCTAATAACTTCGGTTTTTGATTAAATAAAATAATCCAAGAAAATGGCATTGGCGTGATGTTTTTCAACGCCAAGAGACAAAGAGTTTCTATCACTACAAAAAAGAGGAAACAGTCTAGAAACGTTTTCATTCAAATAGATGACCCAGTTTATTAGGGCAATGAACTCTTCATATCGCGGGAGAGCTTCAGAAATATTAATGTATTCTCACAAAACATGACTTATCGTTTCATGATGAATGAGATCTTTCTTAGTGTTCTGTTCTGAAGAGAATGTTGAAAGATTTCCATTCCGCTGTTTGTTTGCCATATGAATATTGTTTGCCTCTTAGTATGAAAAATATTGAAACGGAACATGTTCAAAACAAAACAAGAATCGAACAAACACATCAATCACTTTTCAGATGTACCGATTAAAGATATGAATGAAGAGTATAAAACTACACTGTATTGTATTGAATGGAACAAAACATGTTTTTCTCGTTGAGAACAGAGTTTGCTATAGTTGATGTACCGGCTAGGGTTAATTATAACACAAACGGGATTTAGACATTGAAAGTATAGTCGTGGTAGTAAGTAAAATCCTTCTCTAGGTCCACTTTTGAGTATCATCTCTAGAAAGTGTTTTCGAGACAAGACAATGTGGTGCGCACAATATTCATTATTTGTTAAAGTTGCGAACATCCATACGCAAGAGGTATCTTATTCGTGGTTCGTAACCAGGAATAAGATACTTCTTGCTACCTGATATCTACAGCATGTTCGAAACTTTAATAAATAGTGAATATTGTGCGCACCACATTGTCTACTTTCAGATACTCGTATACTTTTTATGTTCCATGACACTATTTTTGACACTATGATTGGTTCAAAAAACGCCACCATAATTATATTCCAATAAATTATTTTGCTAGTATATTTTTTAAGAAATAACGCTAACCCAGTAGTAATTAAATATCTTACGTTTTGTACGTCATCAGGAGTAATGACTCTCGAACAAGATAGTAGTACCACATGATGCAATCTGATAATGAAGAGATAATCTTTGTGAAAACTAATACATCGTATGTCGTCATTTCCCGAGAAATGTGTACAAAAAGTTTTTCTCCCAAAATTCAACAACTATTGTGATGAACACTACAACATTTCGGTCTAATCTCATCATCATATATGAATAAATTACCTTAAAACACGTGAGCAAATGCTTTAAAATACATATGAAGAATTTTAAATTACTCTTTAGTTTTTAGTTTTATTTGGCTTTTACGTTGAAATTACAAGAGATACGACAAGATATTGCATGCTTGAAAAGTTGTGTAATATAAACATTGTATTTTCATAGCACACAATATCACAGGGTTCGTTAACTTCGTTGTCGCATTTATTAAGCAAGTCATATACTGTAGACAACGTTGTTTATCACTACATAGAGTTATTAAATAAATCCAAGGTGCTTTGCCACATCTGGATAATCGAGATAAAATGATTATTGATTTGTTAAGCCAATTGCAATACTTTCTAATCGATATATACATTTATAATTGTTCAAATTACGCGTATTTGTAAACTAATCAATGACAACTAAAAAATTAATGCGTTTTATCCACTTACTTTTGAAATATGACCACGGTAACTTATATTTAACTTAGGTTAAATATTAAACAATAAATTCCACTCTTCACACAAACGCAGTCACATTTTTATTTTTTTTTATTATTAAAACGACACTGACCGCACTACCGCCAAAAACATATCTTTAGACACAACTATAGATAAAATAAGTGCCATTAAGCTATTAGTTGTTGTCACCTCTAAACAGATGCTGGTAATTGCCACATGCCAATTCGGTTGTCACGACTTGTGAATATTTTCCAATATGTCCGTCTAATCAGTAAGACGATTCATACGGATTCAGGCACATGCCGGCTAATTTAAAAAATAAATTTATCAATAAATGTTTTTTTTTATTATTTCAATGTGTTTTTATTTGCATACAAATTCGCAATGTTTTTCAACCTTTTTTGTGATGTGACCCATTCGTTTGTAAAATTATTTTCCATCCCATAACTAGAAGGCAGACGACAAAGAAACAGTCTCTCTTCGCACATAGCGTCGCACCGTAAGCAACCCGTACGAGATGTTATGTTGTTTAAAGATTGACAACAACGCCATCTAGTTAATTATTGACGTACTTTGCCTCATGTAATTTTATACGTTTATGAAACAAGTTTAATTTCATTCAATTGAATGACACCATTATTGCATGTGTAAATTCAAAGTAAAAAAGTTGTTAAATTATTTAACTTTATTATGCCAACTTTTCTAAATGTAGCGTCGAGTAAAAGTGGAAAATGTATGTAAAACAGTTTTGCTAAGTCCTTGATTTACGTTAAAGGCGAAGGGAAAAGCTTTGAAATAAGCCATTTTATAGGACCGGTCTTGAACGAGATTGTTTAAAAGTAACAAGGCGCTTAATTGAAAAACTAAACTGTTTACTTTCAAGTTTTATAGGCTAGCGATAAAGTCGATGCAGTCTTTCCCTGCTGCGAAGTTTTCTTTTTTTTCCATTAATAAGCTTTTAAAGTAGATCTTTTTCTTAGATATTTATGTAACTAGTTCTCTTATAATTAAATGAGGATAAAACACGAACCAATGTTGGCAACATTGAAGTAAAGTTTTACAAGATTGTTTTAATAAATGATGCAGTCGGTTTGTTAGATACGTTTATTCGTTTGCAATCGATTTGTAATTGATAAGAGTGGGTGAGTAAACCCGATATTGTATAATATTGCACGCAAAAAGTCAATGAAAGCAGATTACTTCATCAAAACATTCTTATCATAAATAATAAATCAATGATGGTATTTAGATCGCATGTCTCAGATTTGAAGATTCTCAGAACTTTGATTAGGTTTTCCTGTCCATTTCAAATCATTTCTAAGACAGCACATATACGAATTTTCTTCGAATTGGGAATCTATTCATATTGTGTCGAATTCGAAATTGTGCAGCTATTTTTTGATGCTCGTTCTAATATGTTAAAATATTTTATATTTCACTGGATTATAATTTACATATTTGTATTGTAATTACAAGTATGGTCAATGTACAGTTATGGTCGTTACATGCACTCACCATGTTTATACTTTACTACATGTAGCGCCATCTATTATAAAGTACAGCAGTTAAAATGGGAAAATGACTTTATCCTTTGTGTGCTCGAAGGCTTTTGTTTATGTAATTGCGTGCTTGAGATTAAGGGTCCCTACTTATATGTATTATACGGTAACTTGGTGTGAAGGGTCTTACAATTAAGCTTTGGCTAAGGCTTTCTAGTGAAACTATAACAATACTATCCGTAAACTGAGTACAATTCAATTATATATGAGGAATAAATATGATCAAAAGAAAATCTAATAAATTTAATGATATGTAGATACGGCGTTGTTTACTTCTTTTATCGGTATCTAAATCGACTTTGAATCATAGATTATTTTACTTTCAAGGAACCTAAGCAATGAAAATAAAAATCTAATCATATTTCTTCAATCAATCATCCGAAGAAGATATTTCGTTCTGTTATCTCGAGTTGTTGAATAAATTGTTTGATTGTCTACTAAATATGATTTATTATAGTTATTAAAAGTAATCAATAAGATATTTTCCCTAAATATTCATACTTTTAAATAATTAAGTAATATTTCTTTTACTAACAAAAAAACCTTGCAAGCAGTATTGCGTTTTACAATGAAGTATAAAATCTTCACAATAAAACACCACGGTAGGATTGTAACATTGGGTAGACATTACTTTATAATATGTTAAATAACTACAATAATAACAGTCACATTTGCTTATATTTGTTTGCTCTGGCAAGTGTTAGTAGTCGAGGAATGTTATCAACAATCAGGTGTTTCTTGAAAACATAGAACTAAAGCAGGTTCATTCACGTTGTTCAAGTGATGTATTTTAGTAGTCTAAACAAAATATTTTAAATTTTAAAGAATACTTGCTTGGTCATGGTGTGCTTGCGTTCTTGTGCTCAATAACATGTGTTATTTCTAAACGGAACGGTAAAATTTGTTGAACGAGATAAAAAAAATAACTTTTGGAAACTGCAATTTTTTCATCTACAAATTTCTGTCTAGAATCCTAAACAATTATTACAACTATGTTTAAATACATTATACAAAAATAGTATTTTTATGTCTCTAACATTAACAATACCTTTAACGATAACACGATTTATGTTTCTAAATTTAATTAAAAGCTTAAGACATGTTTTCTGAAGGAATTTTATCCTTTATCCTCTCAGCAGCTGACACGTGTCACATTTGAAATTAGTCGACGAGCCAAAGGCACACCCTTAATAGAATTTACTAATAAAAAAACCATACTATAAAAACAACATTCATCGCAAAAAGGTTCTTTTATAAGTTACGTAAGAGCAACTTAAACTATCAATTTAGTCGCAGCACTTAGCCAGTGTAAACAAAGTTATTCTCGTTCCAAAGACAACCGCTCTATACAACTTTATGGGACGTTTCTTTTTTATGGAAATTCATAAATGAGTACATTTACTTAATAGTAAATGGTACTTGTAGCTTGTAAATGTTTTTATTAAATACTGCAGGTAATAAAATAGGGTGTAGATGAGTTATTAAAAGAAAAAAACCTAAAACGTATGCTTCTGTACTGTCCTCCAATGTCCATTATATCAGTCTCTTAGTTTTGTTTTAATGTGATTTTTTTATATCTTAAATTTTATTGTGGAAAATCTAGTAACTACTAAAATAGAGTAAATCTACTAACCTCCTGGATTGTAGTTTTTGGGTTGCGGAGTAACAGCCGCAGCCACCCCCGAGGACCTTCGCGATCTGAAACGATACAAAAATTATATTTAATAAAAATAATTTTATAGCAAGATTTACAAAAAACAATACATGGTCTTTAAATATTGTACGTCAACCTATCCAGCAAACGCTAAACTCATTTGTAATTTAAGAAGGTTAATTTAGAGGGATAATGATATTAAACTTAAAAGATTATTAAGTATTATTGAAATAAAAATTAAAAAGATAAAATTCAAGATATATAAACAAGCTTAAAAGATTAAAGGTAAACATCTCGGGTTAGAGCTGGGAAGCTTCCGTCCAATAAAATTATTTACTTTGTAAAACTGAAAGCACTCTCTTTGAGAATATTTTTCGTTAATTCAAAGGTTTTTTCACAATTTAAGTGGACATTGAGAAGGATGTATACTTGATTTTTTGGTTGTAATGGCCATTATACGATGAGAACATTTATTTCAACAGAATATTTTTGATAAAGTTGTATTTAAAAAACGAAGTGAAACGTAGCTAGCGCCCGCTCGAATTAATATTATTAAAAATTTAATTCACTTTCATATAATTTATTCACGAACAGGTTTATGAACCATTCATGATGTCACGAGTGACATTTTACGATTTTCATGCTTTGATCCGATTGTGATTGTCCGTATTGTAAAACTGATAATTGCTTTGACCTTTAAAGCAATTAATTCATCGTACTGTCGATCGTAATCAATTATTTTACGTTCATTACTCTTTTTTTTATCAATTGCAGTTAAAACATTCAAATGCCACGCTCTTTTGTTGTAACAACCTTTTCATCTGTACCTATAACCTAAACTAAATTACAGAGTATTGAACTATTCGACATTTCATTCGCATTTATTTACAAAAAAAGTCCAGCCAGCGATTTTTTCAAATAGAATAAAAGTTAAATTGCAATAGCGTATAACGGACTATGCGAACAATACTCTTTCTCTAACGAATTATGTCGGCGCGTGACGTAGCCGAGCTGTGACGTCGACGCCGCGTTGATGCGGAAATTGTGTTGTACGTACGCATTATATCAGTCAGTTATTAGCAGAGTTTCGTTACTCTTTTTTTTAGATTTTAAAAGCTTTTCAATGATTTTATAATTTTTTGTTAAACTTTTGATTTACTTCGATTGTAAAGGTTACTTTCGTTAAAGCTCTATAAGTTCGTTATTTTATTGTACATCCCTACTCTTCTCTACTAGGTTAGTAACTTATCCCTTTTTAGTATGACTAACCAACTATTTTTTTATATGACTAACTATGCTCTCTCAACATTAGGATAGCCGTTTACTTGACCATCGGCTATCATATAAAATTGACATACGCAGTATGTTACACAGTAATTAATAATGCACTTACTTTGCGACGGGTACATTTGTGAGGGACAAAAAGTTGTTGCGGACGCTGCGCAGGCTCGCCAGCACCTGCGCGAACGGCGTCACGATCAAGTCTTCGCCGTGGCTGTGGACAAAAGTTCACTAAATTAATTACAGTCCTAGCATTTATAAATCATCCTGCAACGTATCATTCGTGTACTAGACCAAAAGGTTGTGGAATAAAGGTTCATGTGTATCGGTTATCGCTTATAAGGCAAGATGTGTCTTTGTTCCTTTCTTTTATAAATCAACATGATAGTTGATGGACTTGTACTTAAAGTAATACTTCCAGTAAGTGAGTATTCAAGATTTGAAAATGATATTAGGGACTGAAAAAAAAACGTAGATTTGTGTTTTGTGTCCAAAGATATATGTTTAAAAAGTGTTTTGAGTTTTATAATAGTTCGTTAAATATTTATTATAAAGTTAAAGTATACGATAATGAAATCTCGAATAATTTAACTACAATCTCATCTATCTGTATATTCTTACATGAATAAATATAAATATGTTTAATTTAACAACAATGGAAAGCAGCAAACTACGTGATTCCCGCAATTAGCAAAAGAGAAATCAAAACGCTGCTATAAATTTAATTAAGGGTCTTCGAAACATGAGGTCGTTGACATTATCCGACGCTCTCTACAAACAGTCAAATAGCATGAACAAGCTTAGTTGAAATGAATATTGAATTTATCATTTAAAAAAATGCGTAATTTGGCAATACGAGTAGAGCTTAAAGCCTTAAGCATTATCTAGACCTAATGTTATTGCAGTATTACTAAGAGGCGAAGGTTTTCTTAGCATGTTTTCCTTCATCACGGAGCCCGTCATAAATCAGGATGCAATATTGCAATTACCAATTTCCTCAGCGTCGGAGCTCGGCACCGAGCTCGTATATTGCTTGCTCACGTACTAAGAAATTTAATACGACAGGTACAAAGTTAAATACTTTCATCACTTTGTCAGTTTATTTAATTTGTTGAAAAAATCGAACAAAGTTTTACTGCGCTATTCTGCAGTTGGACGGCATTATTTCTTTTTATATTCAACAAATAAAAGTGGGAGTTGAATATTTTTTAATTTAAATTCTGAACCCTTTTTCTCGTTATACTTTTTAAATGGTGAAATAATGAAACATCGTATTTATAGTAGTTTTAAACTTTTTTCTTTCGCAATTTATCAATATAACGATTCACTATAAATTTTTACTGTCGTGTAAATCTTTTGATGGATCGAACATAAACGTTGCAGCTAACATGTAAAGGCGTATAACACAAAAACATTAAAGTTAGAACAAGGACAGTCAACATTTGTACTATTCTTTTGTCATAACTTTGCTGCTAGATTCATACGTTTATCGAATTAATGAAATAGTAGTTGGTAGAAAATGTCACATTTTCTGATACTTAAATGTCAGTACAATAAGATAACATAGAAGAGGACCTTTTCTTATAAATTGTACTGAGATAAGGTTGCGTTTAAATATATATAAATTGTTGTTAATTTATAAATAAAGCATACTCTTATAACAAATTTATTCTATCTGAACTTAGAAATCGCGCCATTTTAAGATGATAAATAAAGCAACTTAAATCACGGGTACCTTTACAAAGGATTATTCTACCTATTGTTTAATAGAACTTATTTTCCAAAATAAATAAGGTTTAATAGCGAGACCGTTTTATTTTTATTGTGGAAATAAAGAAGTTTACTGAGGGCGATCGGGCGATCGGGCGCGGGGATTTAGCGTCTCGTATTGTCTTCTTGCCAACATCAAATAAAACTTCTAAAGGGTTAGAGGTAATTGACACTTGTGAGATTTCATTGTTTGTTTAGCTTCTGGAAAATAATTTGATACGCCCGCCTCGTCATGGCTTAAATATGATAGGAAATAATCATTCCTTTTGGAGGTTTTACACGTAAATATGATAAAAATAATTGATGTCTAGACATCTAAAACTATATTTTTCTACGTGTTTTTAATATGTTTTTTTTTCAATTTAGAAATTGGGGCAGTTGATTCCCAATTTCTTAATTTCCGATGACCGTTAAATGATAGAGTATACAAATATACAAAGTAGATAATGGCAGCACGTAATGAAATAACAGTATATATATTTTCACAACAGATAGTAGGTACAGTGTAAGCAAGATGTTTATGTCTATGCGAATATTGGCAAACGTAGGCAGTGCCCTTGGAGCAACCAGTTGCGGTAAGATACATATTATACATACTACACAAAGATCTGCGGTCAACCGATGCGCATTATATTTCGCTTATTAATTTTGTAATTGATCTATACAAGACAAGAAAAGACTAGATATATGTAAATGTTAATAATAGAATAATTTAGAAAACCTTGATATTAATTTTCTATGTACAACTAAAATACTAATTTACGAATGCAACTTTAGAAGTGACATTTATATAACAAACTTTAATTCAAACATTTCATGTTAATACTACGACAAGTGTATATTTGAGGATGGTGACAGCAAAACAAATTATTGAAAGGTAAATATAGATAATTACTATCGTTCTAGTGTATCTAAGATCATGTGAGTGTTAATGTACGGATGGTCACATTGGCGAGCGAGCCTGGATACTTGCCCACTGTTCACGAGTAGCCAATGAAAAATAGATGTCACAATCATAACCAAGGAATCCGTACTGAAAACAGTACGCGATCACATGATGTCTACTGAATTTGTGAATAAGAGGAAATAATAAAAACACAAAATACAACTTCATCTACATAATGATACGATGCTGAATATATACAACGCTTCTTAAATCTTCGCCGAAATAAAAAGGAAAACACAATAAAAGATGAGCATAAGAAACAAGCTAGTATATTTACGAATGATAAAAGTATACAATGCTGGAGCCGACAAAAGAAAATAGATCGATGGCCCATATTCAGCAAACATACATTTTCCCGGCGTCCCTGCGAACGGACTGGGAATAGTAAGTGGGTAATAATCAGTTACTCACTTAATATAAGTGATAAACTGATATTGTTTGCCAAACTGTCCCTAGGGATATTGAGAGGGTCGTTTGGGAAATATTGCCTTTGTAAATTGTTCGAGATCTACAAGAACATAATCAACAGTAAGACAATAGCTAGTAATCAGTTTAGTCCGTGATTTGTTATAACACGTAAGATTTATAGCGACTCGTTAATTTGGTTGATTTATTTTTATTAGTGTAACACTATTGTTTCTCATATAAAACGTGTAGAAGAATGTATCAACATTTCCTTTTTGTAATCGATATTTTGTTTGTGTCGTGTTTCAAAGAGATAGAATTGCGATGAACAAAAGATGAACGTATAAAAGAAAATAAGATTACAAGTATGCGGTACAAGAGTAATGCAATAAAAAAATCTCAAAGGAAGTAACACGAGCTAAAAACAGCAATACTGTTATCTTGAACAGATCGTTAAATCTAAAAATAGTGGAAGTAAGACAACGGTTATAAAACTCAATAAAGGCAATTGAAACTCTGGTATGTTCGCTAGGAATTTTGCTTACGACTTGAGAATTAACAAGGCGGATATGATGTAAAATGTTTCTTAGAGGTACCCTACTTTTTGAAATCAGTTAAATTTTATACAGCTTAAATTCGTGTTTTAAAATAGTACATTAGTACACACAATCTGGCAAAAACACTCTTTCCTCAGCGGTATTTCCAAACAGCGGCGACGTACAATGCCTTCAAGAAAAGAGCGTACTGCAGTTCTCTTGGTGTTACGGATGATCATGGGCATAGGAAGAATTATCATTAAGCGATCCGCTGCTCGTTTGCCTACTTCTACTATAAAAAAAATATTCCTGTATAGTTACGACAAAACACTTCATCAATTAAATCTAACTTATTAATGTGTTCTCGTGTTACCCAGACTAAATATATTCGGTTTCACTTAGCCTCGTTTAAAATCGATTATAACACAATCGATTGGTAAAACGATCATAATTAATTTGAACTTTATTGATTCGCCGGACACGAGATAATAAAAATGCTTGATTGACCTTAATTTGTTGACTAAGGTACGTCATTGTTTGTAAATAACGAGTTATGAAACTGAAGTTAGGAAATAATTCTGATTTATAAAGACATTTTTCAATTGTACCTAATTAGGTTCTCTCACTAGGCTCAATTTAATGAAATATTACTTGACGTGATAAACTGGCAGCTATAATTGCCATTTCATAAAATAATAACAGGATAAAAAGTTAAAAATGATGCCTTACGAAGATTATAGAATGACCTTCGCCATAAAATTAAGAATTACCTCACTCAGAGTCCTTTAACAGCAACTTAATGTCAATTCAATTAGTTCCATGTCGTATTAACTGTTATTGGCAATAGGATATCAATTCTAATTCGAGGAGCGTTATTGCGACAAGGGAAAGAGCCAAATCACGTACAGAAGCTAAAACTGAATAAAGCCTAATTCCGATATTACGACGCTGCTTATTGAGTTGGGCACGAATCATTTTATTATTGTGCTTCGTTATTACGAACCAGTGAATTGAATTTATTATACCTAGAAATATTTTTTCACAAAAATATTCGCCATTTCTATACCCGAAATTAAAAAAAAATATCAACACTATAAAAATCTATAATTGGTGTCACAAGTGAGTTTTAATAAATATAAAAATTATTACTAGTTACAATCGCTTTTGAAATTCGATGTAAACTTAGAGCTGTAGAATTTGTGCAAACATAAAACTACCTTAAAGTGCTGCTCATACTCGAAGAAAACTACATATGGAGTTAAATATATGTAGTAAAGTGACTACAATTATTTTGCTTATAATTTATTTATATGTGCTAAGTGCTATGCTTACCTCATTTCCATGTAGCTTTTTATTTCAATCAATTATTTAACAAAATCCTGAATTTACAATTTATTTTTAACTTGTACCTTTGACACTCAGTAATCAAATTTGATAGACGTCAAGATTTTAGTTTTAAAAGTTTTATATGAGAAAAGTTTTTATGAACAATCTGTTTGTAGGGCGACTGTTTTGTATTTTATAAAGCTGTTAATGGCAGTACCCTTTGAGTGATAC